GGTTGCTCTCCACTTGTGCAACTTGTTTCCTTCTTTAATAATTCACAGCTATTGATGAACGTGTAACAACCAATTAGCAACTGTAAAAGGGATGCTTCAAGTCTCATTTCTTGACTACATTCATCTATATATAGCCATGGACTTGCAAGATTCAAGATAACTTTGCAAGGCTAGAGAAACTCACCAGAAATGTAGCTTTCACTAGTTTTTCTTAGTTCATTAGTGTAAAAAACTGTTTACTTGGTGATACGTGATAAATGGCAAGTGGTGGAATACCTTTGGGGTTCGGTCTATTTGCTTGTGGCTTGTGCTTTTACCTCAAACAGTGATCTTCTTGTTGACTTCCAAATAGCTTCTTGATATTCTTAATTGCTTTGATATTCTTCATTAGTTTAATTTAGTTTTTCCTTGTATCACCTAGTGGTCTTATGGAGACTTCGTTTTCTATAGACGAAAAAATTAGGTCATCTTCCATCACGAGTTGACATGTTCGAACACTGTTATATTGACTCAAACGGAAACCCGGGAAATGATGACGTTGCAACTACATTGGTAAGTCACTAATTGGTTGATGAAATTAGTACCCTAAATGACTGAAATTGTCTACTAACTTATGACTGATTTTATCTTGATTGATGTAAGATAATCGATTTTAGTAATATTAAACTTTTTCTGGATTTTGAATACAGCAAGCTTTGAAAGAAAAAGTTAGCCAACTTCCTCCTAGTTCTAATGATGCTGTTGGTCGTGATGATGCATTCGCCCAAGTATTTGGGGAAGATAAGAATGGACGTGTGCGCATGTATGGTCTAGGTGTGACACCATCAGATAAATGGGGTAATGCACCTAGTCGCAGCACTTGTCAGCGTATTGTTATGGAGCAAAAGGCAGCAATTTCTAAGATGGAAGAAAAATTTGCTGAGCAAGATCAGCAGCTTAAAGACCAAGCTAAAGAACTTGTAGAGCTCAAAGCAATGGTGTGTCAGCAGCAAAATAGTGGCTCAAAAACCGGTGGCTCGATAAATTCAACATCCTCTAATCATGTTTCAAAACCACCTATTGGTGCTCGTTCTCTTCAGGTATGTTCATGATTCTTTTCAAGAATTTATTGTGATTATATCATGTGAGGATGCTTTTATTGTTTGAAACTTGTTGATTAATTAAACTGCTATTTTGTTTGGTTATGTTGAATAGTAACATGGCATTTCAACTTAGTAGGGTCGTGGTTGTTAAGTTTTATTGCTGAAAATTGGAGAAATGTTCAAAATGCAGGGAAACTCTATCAAATTTTTAAAATAAATCTATCTAATTCAATTCTATGACTTTAAATTATCTTGTAGGAAGGTGATTGGGTGGATATTTTCAGTTTGTTTGATCCAACAAAATGTCTAGCTATTGGTTTGGGGCACATGAGCGAAAAAGGCTTAGGCATACTAAGCAAAAAGGGACTTCTTTGTGGTCAAAGTACCGGGCCATTGGAATTCTGTGAACATTGTATTTTTGGGAAGCAGAAAAGAGTCAGCTTCAGTTCACCAGCAATTCACAAGACAAAAGGTACTCTTGATTACATTCATTCAGATCTATGGGGTCTTTCTCGTGCTCCTTCTAAAGGTGGTGCCAGGTACATGTTGACTTTCATTGATGATTATTCAAGGAAAGTTTGGGTATATTTTCTTAAGCATAAAAATGATGTTTTCCTAACTTTCAAGCAATGGAAAGTTTTGATTGAGAAGCAAACAGGAAAACACATTAAGCGGTTGAGAACAGATAATGGCATGGAATTTTGTGAAGGTGAATTTAATGAATTCTGCAAGAATGAAGGAATTGTTCGGCATCACACCGTCAGGATGACGCCTCAACAAAATGGTGTGGCTGAACGTATGAACAGAACTCTTTTGGAGAGAGCAAGATGTATGATCTCCAATGCAGGGTTGACAAACGACTTTTGGGCAGAGGCGATCAATATGGCCTGTTATATTGTCAACCGTTCTCCTTCTGCATCTCTTGATTTCAAAACTCCTGAGGAAGTTTGGTCAGGTACTCCTGCTGATTACTCCAATTTAAAAGTTTTTGGGTGTCCAACATACATGCACGTGAATGATGGAAAATTGGAGCCTAGGGCTAAAAAGTGCATTTTTCTTGGGTATGCTTCTGGGGTGAAAGGATACAGATTATGGTGTCCTGATCCCAAATCTCCAAAATTTGTGATCAGTAGAGATGTTACTTTTGATGAATTGTCTATGTTATCTTCCAAGAAGGAGTCTTCCAGTCCTTGTACTACTGATAGTACACAGAAGCAGGTGGAGCTTGATATTGGCAGTTCTGGTCCTTCTCAGACCAAATCTTCTATTCAACAAATGCCAGTAGATGCACCTGAGTCTACTGTGGAAGATAGTTCAGAAGAAGAAGAGTATTCCATAGCCAGAGATAGAGCAAGGAGAGACATTCGACCACCACAAACATATGCAAATTTAGTTGCATATGCTTTGTCTATTGCAGAAGAAACTGATGCAGTTGGTAAGCCTTCCACCTATTCAGAAGCAGTTTCTTGTGATGATTCTGCAAAGTGGTTGATTGCGATGAATGAAGAAATTGAATCTCTTCATCGTAATAAAACTTGGGTTCTTGTAAAGCCGCCGTCAGCTAAGAAAATTGTTGGATGCAAATGGGTCTTCAAGAAAAAGGAAGGTATTCCAGGGGTTGAAGATGCAAGATATAAAGCACGATTGGTTGCAAAGGGCTATAGTCAGGTACAAGGTGTTGATTTTAATGATGTGTTTTCACCTGTTGTTAAATATAGCTCTATTCGTGTTTTGCTTGCTTTAGTTGCCATGTATGATTTGGAGTTAGAGCAGCTTGATGTTAAGACAGCTTTCTTACATGGCGAACTTGAAGAACAAATTTATATGAGACAATCCCAGGGTTTTGAAATTGAAGGTAAGGAAGACCATGTTTGCTTATTGAAGAAATCCTTATATGGATTGAAGCAGTCTCCAAGACAATGGTATAAAAGGTTTGATTCCTTTATGTTGGGTCATGGTTATTTGAGGAGCATGTATGATAGTTGTGTTTACTTCCGGAAGTTAAATGATGGTTCTTTCATTTATTTGCTGCTTTATGTTGATGACATGCTCATTGCTGCCAAGAATTTGTCAGAAATTCACACTTTGAAACTGCAGTTAAATAGTGAATTTGAAATGAAAGATTTGGGAGCAGCTAAGAAAATTCTTGGCATGGATATCAAGCGAGATCGAGGAGTAGGTAAGTTGTTCTTGACCCAGAAAAATTACCTTGAGAAAGTTTTGGAGCGTTTTGGCATGAAAGATGCTAAACCAGTATCTACTCCTCTTGCTAGCCATTTTCGGCTATCTGCTGCTCAATCACCAAAATCAAATGAAGAGGAAGATTATATGGCACGGGTTCCTTATTCCAGTGCAGTCGGCAGTGTTATGTATGCAATGGTTTGTACTCGTCTAGATATTGCACAAGCAGTCAGTGTTGTTAGCAGATATATGTCTTGCCCTGGTAAAGCACATTGGCAAGCTGTGAAGTGGATTTTCAGATACTTGCGAGGTACTTCAAATGCATGTTTGGAGTTTGGAAGAAATAATAACACTTTGGTTGGTTTTGTAGACTCAGACTACGCTGGGGATCTTGACAGGAGAAGATCACTTTCAGGCTATGTATTTTGCATTGGCGGTTGTGCTGTTAGTTGGAAAGCTACTCTACAACCTGTCGTAGCTTTGTCTACTACTGAAGCAGAATATATGGTTGTGACCGAGGCAATCAAAGAAGCCTTGTGGTTGAAGAGTTTATTTAGCGAGTTAAGTCTATATCAAGGTGTTATTGATATTCACTGTGATAGTCAAAGTGCCATACACTTGACTAAAGATCAGATGTATCATGAAAGGACGAAACACATTGATGTGAAGTATCACTTCATTCGGGATATCATTGTTGAGGGAAAAGTCCTTATTCAGAAAATCAATACTAAGGACAATCCAGCCGATATGTTTACGAAATCTCTTCCAGTTTACAAGTTCAAACAGTGCTTGGACTTGGTTGGTGTTTGTTATTGGTGATTTAAGCCCATTGGGGCTTATGTGGAGAAGGTGGAGCAGTTTTACTATTGTCGATGGTGGGCTTCCAAATTATGCCAAGGTGGAGATTTGTTGATTCTTTCCACAGCCGCAATGTTTGACTGTGGCATAAGTTTTTCATCCCACATCGCACAAAGCCAAGAAGAAATCGGCTACTCGAGGCCTATAAAAGGAAGGGTCCTCTGAAGATTTTAATTCGCACCACTCAAGAGAGTTATATGGGCTATTAGCTTCTTGAGTCATCTAGCCCATTCAGTCAAATATTTTAGGCTCTCTTGTTTTGAGTTTAGGAATATTTTCTAAACTCTTTCGTAAGTGCCTATTGGCCTAGGAACCACTTTCCTACGGTCTTTTGTATTTCTTCTTCATAGTAGAAATATTGCTCCTCTCTCGCCCGTGGACGTAGGTCAATTTGACCGAACCACGTAAATCTTCTGTGTCTTTTATTTGTTTTGTTATCCGTCTTTATATGGTCGGTTTTACCGCCTAATTATTATATGGCCGGTATCTACCGCCTATCTATTATATGGTCGGTTATACCGCCTACTTTGTGCTAACTTGAGTTTGTCTATTCCTGGCCCTGTCCTAACAATGTGAATAGAACGGTTATTATTACATCAAAGAATATCTAGAGAAATTGTGCATAGCCTACTTTATAAATGCTATTTTCTTTCTAATGATAAAATATTTGGTAAACAATCCACGGTAATATTTTGCATTTTCAAAGTCTTTAGGTCGTGAGGCATGATTAACAAATTAGAGGTAAGGTTCTGTTCATTTCCTTTCAGTTGTGTAAACTATTATAATTTCGGTGTAAATTAATACATTTTAAGTATAATCTTGAATTATAATTCACATTTATATAAAAATTGGACGCGTTTACACCAAAATTCTATCAATTTACACAACTTCATGGAAAAGAAAATGGAGAGGCTCCATTTCCCCAAGAAATAATGCCAAAAGCACATATACCTGTTTTGGGATTCCAACGAAAGAAAGTGTAGGAGCAAGTCGTGGAGGGAAAACGTGCTTGTACAATGGTCCAACGCGATTATCATCCACAGTAACTATCCCATTTGTGTTCAAGAATGGAAAATCATATTTATACCTGTTAACAAATTCAGAAAGATTTAATGGAAATCCATCCCAGATGTATATAACTAATGCATTTTCTTATCAAATTAAGAGGAAAAATCTAAAACCACTGGTTGATTTCTACCCGGTACAGTGAATTATGATATCTGCAGCAACCAAAGCTCCATCCTCGAAAGCTACCGCACCATTTTCATGACAATATTCGATCTAGTGGATACTTGCAAAATTAGAATTTGCATACTAGGAAAGGTGTACGTATTTTGGAACCAAATAAATCAAAGCAACCGAATAAGCAACCATATATCTTAGTCAGATAGCACGTTAATCAAACATCTTTTGAGCATATACGCAATTAGTTTCTAAATCAAATTATGGGAATTATACCTTTGAATTCTTTTTTCCTTTTGCTGCAACGATAATATTTTTATAACCTAATCTATGCTGTTCTACAGAGAGAAGCTGTCTAAAGAGACTATATAAGGGATCACCAAATTTATTAATCCGACTAGATCAAAGAGATGATTTGATACTTTCTTTAAAATTTTTTTTACTATATGTGGGATTTGATCTCCCGATCTATAACTAAAAGAGGGATTAAATCTCTTTTTTATGGCTCGGGTACCACACCTTTGAATGCTGCCATATATTTTCGTAGGTCTCGAGTTTTCTGACTTCAACTTGTGGGAATCTTGATGAAACATGAACTTCTTTGGCTACCTTGGCAATGTCGAAGGCTATATCGAAGCCACTTGGCCCGTGACCAATCACAACTACAACCTGCAACATTTTCCAAGGGAAACAAATATATATATATATATATATATATATATCTTTTGTAAGCACTTGTAGGAAGTCATTGTAGAAAATAGAAAATAATAATAAAGACTAAACAAATTGTTCATTGATACCTGAGCCTTACATATATCTTTTGTAAGCACTTGTAGGAAGTCATTGTAGAAAATAGAAAACAGTAACAATGACTAAGCAAATTGTTCATTGATACCTGATCCTTGTAAGGCTCAGGAACACGATAGTTGTGGCTATGAATTTGTTTTCCGGGCCACTTTTTAATTCCTGGCAATATTAAAGAAGTGAAGAAAAGTTGCCAAATGGGAGTACGAATAGAAGCACCAAGTCAACTCTGCAGGTGCAGTTGTGCTTAAGGTAGTTATTCCACTAGTAATGTTAACCCTAATTTTTAGTTTTTTTCCCTTCCAAAAGTACATAAAGATTTCATTTAAAATGGCCTAGTCAAACACATTAGGCTCACTAAGTACTCTTACAAATTATAATCACATAGTACTAAACTAGACTATGCCGTAGCCACTTGGCCCGTTACCAATCACAACCACAACCTGTAATATATTCAAAGGCAAATTAATTTCTCCATTGGGAAACAGTTGTAAGATTACCAAAAATTGAAATATAATGACTAACCAATTTTTTTTCATTAATACCTGGTCCTTGTAAGGCTCAGAAACGCGATAATTATGGCTATGAATTTGTTTTCCGGGCCACTTTTTAATTCCTACCAAGTGTTAAGAAAAAGGTGAAAATGTCACCAAAAAAGAGTATGAATAAAAGCGCCAAAGTCAACTCTAGTGCACTTGTGCTTAAGGTAGTTCTTCTTCCACTAGGTATGTGCGGTTTTTTTTTTCATTTTTTTTTCTTTTCCAAAAGTGCATGAATTAATGTTTCCATCTAAACTAGTCCAGTCAATCATTATAAACACCTCAGAGCAAATCATAATTTTATGTTGAAATGACAGAACTATCCCACCTAAGTCCAAACATTTTGGACTTGAAAAGGATCATTTTTGCATTTGGTGCAAAAATGACTTTGGCAGTAAAAAATGGACTGTGGCATTAATATCACCCACAAGCAAGGCAAGGCAGAGAATTACTCTTAGAATCATATAGAAATATGCTACACTACATGCCACAGATAATGAGGTTGAAAATTTTGTACAATTATAGGCATCAAATAAATTGTCTTGATATATATGTGTCTTTGTATTTTTTTTTTCTTCCCCTCGTTTTAGCTTGAGTGTGGAGGATGGATACCTGGAGTGTCTGCCAATTTTGGTTGAGTATGATGACCATTACAAATCACGACCGCATCGAAAAGCTCTTTTTGATTGGTTTGATCAACATCACTTGTTTTAGACTCAAGAACCCACTTACCATTCTTTTGCTCAACAGAAACTACTTCAGTGTTAAACCGAATCAAGTGATCCAGTCCAAAATCTCTAGCAAAATCATTCAAGAATTTGAGCACCTCCTTGCGATCAGGAAAGTACAAATATTTACCATTTTTCTCGATTGTGAAGGAATAATCTGTAAATTCCATAAGTTGCTTAGGAAAATTTGTCCGAAGTGAATCGTACATGCTGCTATGAATGATTCTCCTATTAGGGTCGAGGCCAAGCGGATCAGTCTCAACTTCAGGATCGTACACCCACACTCCACCAATTTGGTTTGATTTCTCATACACCACAATCTGCTGGCCTTCTCTTTGAAGCTCCCGGGCCGTCAAAAGGCCCGAAACACCAGCTCCGATCACTGCCACCTTATGAAGTTGGGGTGCCATATGTATGGTACAATCTTGTAGCTTATCCTGTTGCATTAATAGTTACATGGATTACTATACCAAGGTTTGAGCAGCTAGGAACGGAGCCAGGCCATAGGGAGGGTGGGCAATTGCAGAACCACCCAGGTCCTCCACCCCCAATCTTCTAAAAAAGGTACAAAGTTGGCTTGTAAAAGTCTTTAACATCAATAATTTTTCTAACATTTGCACCTGCTGAGCTTTATGAAACTCCCTTTCCTTTCTAGATTGCCCCCTTGTAATTGCTCAATATACTTTTCATGAAATGAAACATTGCTTCGTTTCATTCGTACATATATAATTGACTGACAATTAAAAGTTGTATCGTTTCTTTTGTCATAGACGTGCACTTACCAAATAAGTTGTCACGGTAGCTGTTTGGATCTTGTCTCCGCCACTACAAGCAGCAGCCATGTGTGTGTAATAATATGACCAAATAAATTTGTCTTGTATTCTTGATCAGCTGCTCCTCTTTATGAGAACAAGAATATAATCATATAATATATACGTAACATAAGGAGTGTGCTTTAGTTGAGGGCATTAAAAAGCAGCACTAAGAGAGATTCTCTTACCCGTGACTAGTGATTTTGTTGACAGGAATGGATGAAGCAAGAGCCACTTGGATTGGTTCGGATGGTTTCGGGATAGGCTAGTTAGGTTTCGAGGTCGCGTATTCAAGTCACCTTTCTACCGCTTATGTATTCTTGAGGGGTTAGCTGCACAAGTCCAGGGAGATTAGTCCAACAAAAAGTTGAAGTACTCCCTGTGTTGAGAAAAAAAAAAAAAGAAGGATGAAGCAAGAGATACTAGCTCCCTAAGAGAAAGGACTGAACCAACACCTTTGGTCGTGCTTTAGTTACTTGTACTTCTCCATTATGTTGAGGGCATTAAAAAGCAGCACTACGAGAGATTCTCTTACCCGTGACTAGTGATTTTGTTGACAGGAATGGATGGAGCAAGAGATACTAGCTCCCTAGCTACTTTTTTGCCACAAGTGATATGGTCTGTTCCCCGTATTCTGTCCAAGTTTCTTGTCCCCTCTCCTTGAGGGAATGGATTTGATCCTTGCTGAAGTGCTTGAAGATAATGCTAGGATGATCAAGTCGTCCCTTGAACAAAATCTCTACCTGGAGAATCAAAATTTTTGCCTTCACGAGCCTAACCTTGCAAGCCCCTTAAAATAAACAGCTGGAGAAGGAATTCCAATTTCCACCTACCGTATCAGATGACTTGATTGCCTCCCTAACTATGGCATTAGTTTTTGATACTAAACCAATTATTTTTAATCCGATGCCAAATATTGTAGAATTATAGGCCCATCCATTATTTTTTTATACCAAACCAATTATTTTTCTCCGATGCCAAATATCGTATTAAAATTATTGGAGCCTGCAACCAACGCTTAACAACCTCCATGAATTTTTAGTTGCACTGTTTAGCATTAGCCGGTTTTTCAAATTTTGTTCATACATGAGTACCAGCCTTTTCTTTTAAGACGTACATATTGATTAAATGCAAACAATCAACAAAAATAAATAACTAAAAGAAGCATATAAGATGGATAAGATGATTAAAAATGGAATGCAAAATTCATTCGGTTGCTTTGTCACTTTAGCTCAAAACAAGAATTAATGTATTTAACATGGATACAGTGAGATTTGGTGCTCCTTGAAGATGGGGATCGGCTACCAACATCAATAATTGAAGACTAAAACTAGTTTGTTTAACAAGGTCATGTGGAGCCTATCGGTTACCAACAACAGTAATTTATGATTAATTGTATAACAAGGTTAAGTGGATTCCTGGGTGTTGAGGCTCCAGGAATTAAAAGTTCTAGATTTGAGTCCTCCTTGTCCAATCCCTGTTTCATAAATCTCTCTTCTCTCTGGTTAGAAAATTTTTTTTTTGAAAATGGGAATTCCTAGGTCTCCAAAACTCAGTTTACTTGATAGAAACATTAGTCAAGTTCAATTCTCATACCCTGCCTTTTCTCACCTTCCCAGCTTGTAAGGCTTGCAAGGTTATGTGGATTCCTGGGTGTTGAGACTCCAGGAATTTAAGGTCCTAAATTTTAGTTCCCCTTGTCCCATCCCTATTTTTTAAATCTCTCTCCTCTCCGATTAGGTAAAAAAAAAGAAAAGAAAAGGGGATTCCTAGGTCTCCAAAACTCACTTTACTTGATAGAAGCATTAGTCAAGTTCAATTCTCATACCTTGCCTTTTCTCGCCTTCCCAGCTTGTAAGGTTTGCAATCTCTTTTTGAAGAAAAAAAAAATAAGGTGGAGGCCTACTGCTTGTATTTTATAAAAGCAAAGGTGATTTATGAAAGTGTTAATTGCAGAAGAAAAGTAAAAGGGTTAGTTGCAAAATACACTTCTGAACTTTCTTCAAGTTGTAAAGTATCCCCAAACTATCAATTTCAGTACTATACATCCTCAGTATACTATTTTTCGTAACATGCTCTAATTAACATGCTGTTATGCGAATTTAAACTTGAAAGACAAATTTGTCCTACATACTTATATGGACTTCTTAATGTATCCAAAAAAAAAAAAAAAAGGTAGGGATTTGAAGGACTCTTCTTTTAACTTCCTACCCACCACTTTGACACCACTCAAAATGGAGAGAACTCATCTCTATCTTTTATTATTTTTTTAAATTCATAGAGATGATTTGATTAACTGCATTGGTTAATAATGTATCTGTATTTATAAATATTTGGTATGCTAGCATTTTGACTGGTAAATATTTAGAACTTATAGTGATGAAGTAATTAGGTGCACTGGATAACAATGTGCTTATATTTATAAATATTTGGTATACTTGCTTTTTGACTTGTGCATTTAAATCAAAGTTGTCAGTTTATTTTGTAAAAAAAAATTTTAAAAAAAGGTAAAAGTTTAGAATGATCTCAATTTTAGTACCAATTTCAATCAAAACTTGTTATTTCAAATAAATCGAAAGGAAAAAAAAAAATCCCCACTCGTGAAAGGTAGGCAGTAGTGGCCACGTTCATCAACTTAGAACTCTATGAAATTGCCCAAAAAAATTGTGTTTAATTGTCATATATATATATATATGTGTGTGTGTGTGTGTGTGTGTGTGTGTGTGTGTGTGTGCAATTATGTATCATTTCTCCCATTTTAGAAAAATCCTCTCTTTCATCATGTAGTGTCCTAAGAGTTTAATATGCTTTTTTCTATACAATATCTCTACTCTTATACTTCTAAATTTGACGTGTTATTTTTATTTTCATTACACTCTAGATCTACAAGGTTTCTTTTTAAAGACAGTTATTTGAAGCTAACCTCGTGCTACCTATGATGGTTTAATAGGAGAAGCAATAGAGATCAAGATTTTAGAGGAATTTATTGTTTCATACTAAGAAAGAAGTTGGTATTTCAATGTCAATAATAAAATTGTGTCTAATAGGTGATGAACTGGCATGATGCTTCATATATACGTAATTAGCATTCTAATTAGTAAAATTCAAAAAAATTTCATAATTGTTGACATTGACTGAAAATGCATAACCCACGAGTTGCACGTCAAATAGCTAGTTGGGAACTCTTCTAGATTTCTAAAATCAAGGGAAGAAAAGGTCTTTTGCTGCTGACCTAATTCTTTAATGAATTGAAATTAAACATTCATGCTTCATTCCTTTTTGCCTTATCATGTTTTAACATTTTTTTTTCTTTACATCATTTAGCTGTTTTTTTGTTTTTTTAACATTGAGCATTGTATGGCAAATTAACAACAGCTAACCCAAGGTCATCAGGTTGAAATTTCAAATATAATAGTTTAATAGGATAATAATAGTATCCATATTACATTTTTAATCTTGCAGTGTGCTATATATATGACTAATGATCAAGTTCTTGGACACGGCTTGTTTAGGTGGATTTTCTGGGACAAGTAAGTAGCAAAGGGCTATTTTGATGAAAAATTATTGAGAGACTGTTCTCTGTGTGTGTATTAGCAGATGGTTTGATGGGAGGTGGTGAGATGATTTGTGTTAGATGTCATAACTGGAAAAAATTACACAAGAGATTACCACCTTGACTGCATCAATTTCATGATAGTCGCTGTGGTTGTTCTCTTCTCATCCATGTTAAAAAAAAAAAACCCATATCCATGAAATCTTTTAAATTAAAAGTGTTCGCTTACCAAATTAATTAGGACTGTTCTTCTACATTTGAACAGCTACAAGTACTTTTTTTTTATTTCTTTTCCCACAGGGAAGGGCATGTTCAGAAGCATTTATAGGTCACTTACAAAAATTTTCATAGATCCCCATTAGCACGGCTTTCATATCGAGAGCGAAATTCAAACACATGATCTTTTGTAAGAAAATAACTTATCCTTGCCAATTGAATTAACTTATGTTCGCAACTACAAGTGCTAAAATACAATTGAATTAACTTATGATACATCTTTAGTCTACGCCTTTCACGAATCCCCCAACTCAACATATTCAAACAGGAAAACCTGGGACGAAAAGCTCAGCATTTCTCAAAATGGAAAAGTGGTCAACTAATAACGCAAGCTTTTGGACGCCTGTGCTCCTTATTGTTAGAACTCATCCAGTGTCTTTTCATTATCCATTAATTTGGAGTACGTAAATAAGATTCTTCTCTGCATACAACACAGTACCTCATTAGACTACAATGATTGTTCAAAAAAATAGTTTGAAGAATAAGGCTACGGTGGCCGATGGACTGAGTAAGTAGCTTGGTCAAAAAATTGACTTGAATTTGATTAAACTTGAGCTCTTAATAGTTGCTCAAGCTTTTCGAACTTTTAATTGACAAATTTCCATGACTCGACATTAGAAACAGATCAGACAAAGAGATTATCTAAAGTATTTATAAACCTTATATTAAAATGGCTAAAAATCGATAAAATTAATCAAACTATTAAAAGTAAGTATTAAGTAACCACTAGATCGGCCGCAAGTAGACTAGTATTTTGACTACAAAACCCAGAGTGGTCCAAATGTATATATCTTCGACCACTTTGTGGCTTACCAAAAAAAAAAAAAAAAAAAAGCACCCATCTCCCATCAATCACAGGTCCACAAGTAGATAAAACAAGTCATAAATGGCAGATGATACACTATGTAAACTACAATGGTTTTTGCAAGTCTAGCATCCACAAAACATTTACTCAAGTTATTTCCGACATCAAACCCTTTCTTTAATATTTTATGGGCTATTTAATTATTTCGATAACGGACA